ACCACATAGTATAACATAACAGGTAGAAAATTCTCAACATTTCAGATGGAAGGGAAATAAGGAGCACGGAGTCAGCTATCTTCTCTGACAAGGTCTCACAAAGGTAACAACCCCAGCTGATTGAAGTAGCCAAACTCTACAGCATAAGGCAACTAGAACTGAAGGATTCTGAAGGATTTATATTAGTGGTACTTTTTCAAGGGAGACGTGCAACAGAAAAGGCACAGAGACTAATAAAAAAATCTATAATATTACTATTAATTATTTCTGTGTTTGGCTGGGGAAAAAATGTAGGAGAAACTATAGTTTAAAAAGCCAGTTGGAACAGTTAATTTGTTGTGCAGAGGTTCATGTTACATGGTGTCAATCAGTTGTAACTCAGACACAGAATGAAGTGGAGCTCTCTCAGACTGCTGGCTCCAACTATTTATTGAGCACCCTGTCTATAACTGTGAATTTGGGCCATGTAGCCAGGCTTCTCTGAAGTCCCAGCCTTCCCGGACAACAGCATTGCAAATAAACAATTAAATAATGTCCAACTTGCTAGAGTTCTCCTTAGGTCCTGCTATTTTTCCAGGGTAGCAGCTCCAGGGCTTCCTCATGGAGTCTCCCAGCAGGACTCAAAAGCAAACAAGCTGAAGCTGCATTATCATAACCTATGTTTGCTTTTAGACCTTCCTGTCTCCCATAGTTCTTCATTTTCTACAGAATACTAAACCTACAGAAATACATACTCAGAACTGTATGTATAGTTACAAGGCCAGCCAGATCCACTAGCTTCAGCTAACTCCTCTCTTATTACTTACTCAAAGGACCCTCTCTCAGAGAGGAGGAATATTCCTTTTTTAAAAGCAGAGCACAAAGCCATCACCATCTCACCTTTCAAGCCTGTCTTCCTCACCGGCATACTGAATTACTACATTTGTGGCTAACACCAGCTCCTACCCAAGCTGAGTCTGAATTGAACAAGCCATATTCTTTAGATGCAACTTTGCATCTTTAGATGCAACAAAATGCTAAAATGAGCCATTGCACTCCATAAGCCTTTTTTTCAGTTTGAGTGAGGTTATATGCTCCATCTTAGGTCCATAGATACAAGCTGTGATCCTGTAGTTTTAAGAGCCTACTTTTATTTTTCTCATTTAGAAATTGTGGTTCTTAACATTCAGCTCTGCTCCATGGCTTTTTTGATGCAAAGTTCACAACATAGCCTAAGCAAGCAAACGTATAGACAGTTGGAATAATCTATCAAAGAGTGCATCTACATGTACAATTATTGCACATGAATAAACTCTGTAGCTTATTGCTCCAGAGTTTTTTGCTCCTAGGCATGCCATTTGAATGTGAGCCTCTGAGCATTTAACTCCGGAGCAATTGCCTTTGGAGTTTATTCATGCATAGTATGTGGAGCCCAGCCAGAGCAGCCCCAGCTGGCAGAGGGCCCCAGGGGTCAGTCTGCCATCTCAGAGCTGCTTCAACTGGGATCAACATGCTGCAGAGGGGTTGGTTGGAGCACAAGGATGCTTCAGCACAGGATGGACCCCTGCATTAAAGCACCCTTGTGCCCAAGCCAGCTGGTTCAGCGTCTACACATGCACTGCTGCTCACAAAAACACTCTGCGGCAGGGTAGTTCTTGTTTTTACAAATACTACCGTGCTGTGGAGTTTATTAGTTCCCTGCATCCTAATAGGGGTGCACATGTAGACACTGAGCTGTTTACTGTGGACCTAATTAGTCAGCTCTGCAGTAAACTTCTCATGTAGATGCACCCAAGGACTAGAATCTTATTCTCTGCATAGCAAAGACCTTTTTCCTTGTACAACTTGGACATGTCATACTAAACATGTTGTATTACATTCTGAAGCTTCTCAGTATTTTGTCACAATGCTCACCTTTTACAAAAACATTAAAAATCCCCTAGCAGAACAATTACAACAGAATCATTTTCATCCCCACTACAATCTCTTCAGAAGAAATTTGAACAAATGGGCCTTGCAGGATACCTTGAGGGTACTGTCTATTTCAGTTACAACACTTACATGGACAGCTGTACTTACAGAACATTAATAATATACAAGCCACTTATACTATTCAATACTTTAAAAATAGCGTTGCAAAATTACCATCCCTTATATTTGCAAAATAGGTTAATGATCCATAAATTATCATGGGGAAACTCTGCATAAAAGGCTTTATTTTTAATTTACTTTCAGGTCAAACTAATTTGTAAATATTAAATATCTATATAGTTAGAAACTGTGATTAAACTGTTATTGAATTGGGTACTAGACAGTTCATCACAGCCTATCAGTTCTGATTCATCCAACTTTGTAAACTTCAGGAAAGAAAGTAAATATGTTGGATATCTGTGTGACTGAAACATCATCCTATTAAACTGTTGTTTTCGCATGTGAAATACACAACTTCTCTGCATGTATTTATGTGCTGGCCCTCGGCAACACCCAAGCCCAAAGGAGCAGTCATGAAGAAACACCTACGCACCTACATGTGCTACAGAAATGGGTTTCCATACAGTCCTAAATACACCAGTGTGAAGTAGAATGATGACAGAAAGAGACTATGGCTAAGTACAGACATTCAAAAAGACCGAGGCAGAATCAATGAAAGTTGCACAGTTTTCTGTAAGTGGTGTAGGTAGCTCAGTAATGAACAGGACACACATTCACCTTTTGCTGGGGCATAGACCGTATGAAGTTGGGGTGCCCTTTTGGTGCCCCTCCTGAATTGGCACCTGGTGCTTTTGTTCACCCACCCTAGTTCTGTTACTGGCCTAAAAGAGGTTAAGTAGCATGGAGATCCTCAAGTGGTGGCTATAAGGGAAGAGGTGGCTAAATGCAGTCCCATATTCTGGTTCACAGTCCTGCTTCAGGTTGGGTACCCACAGTGGCCCACAAAGTGGGTTGGGTTCAGATTTTGCAGTGTGAGTGTGGGTTAGAAAACAAGCCTCACTATGGTTAGCGTCTAATTTGCAAGCAGGGAAACCCTTTGAAAGTAGCCAGCCAGCCAAGAGGCAAGCCAGTTAATTAATACCCTCTTCAACTAAGTGGGTGTTAAAAGCCAGTTATTAAAATCATCATGGTCAGCAGCATGCTGATGTCACCAGCTGGGGCTGGGATTGGCTGCATTTTCCCCCTCATTCCCCATCCCCCCTGGAAATGAGTAGCTTCTTGTGCTTTTTTGCTCCTGGATAAGCATTTTTTCCTTGTCACCTTCCCCCGCCCCCAGGCAGCACGCTCAAATGAACACTTCCCTGTGCTTTTTGGCACTTGGGGAAGCCATTTTTTTTCCTTGTCTTCAGGCTAACTCCAGAGACCCCAAAGTGGGTTGGGTTGCGAGTAAGAAGACTTGCTAATGTGAGTTGCAGGTTTGAGTCCAGTTCTATCATATCAGATGCAGATTGGAGGTGGGCCTTTAAAATCAGACCCACGCAGATCTCTACTTTGGTTCCATGTTGGTGTGCAGTTTTAACCATTTTCCTGCACACCCTCAGTACATCTGCATAAGACTTTATTTGGCAACAGTGGATTTCTCCAGTGTAGCAAGAAGTCCACTGAAAATCTTGTGTGAAAGGCAAAAAGCTCAACCTACATTTCTGCCTGAAAGGAACAGTTAAACATTTAGTGCTAGATCAACAAACTGTAAACTAAGTGTGGCTTGTGCCTAGCTAACAAGCATATGCAGAAGTAGAAATTTAAGGTACTAATGGAAGAACTCAAGGTCACAAACTGAGGTCAGGCCACAGCTGGAGTATTGTGTCCAGTTCTGTGCGCCCCATTTCAAGAGGGATGTGGACAACATGGAGAGGGTCCAGAGGAGGGCCACCCGCATGATCCGGGGACAACAGGGCAGACCCTACAGTGAGAGACTGCGGGACCTGAACCTATTCAGCCTCCACAAGAGAAGGCTGAGGGGGGACCTGGTGACCGTCTATAAACTCACTAGGGGGGACCAGAAGGGTTTGGGGGAGACGCTGTTTCCCCTAGCGCCCGCTGGCATAACAAGGAGTAATGGGCACAAGTTGATGGAGAGGAGGTATAGATTGGACATCCGCAAAAACTACTTCACAGTTAGGGCGGCTAGGAGCTGGAACCAACTTCCAAGGGAAGTGGTGCTGGCCCCTACCCTGGGGGTCTTTAAGAAGAGACTGGATGCCTACCTGGCTGGACTCCTTTGAGTCCCGTTTCTTGTTTTGGGGTTTTGTTGTTCTCCCGCCCTGGCGGGGGGTCAGGCTAGAAGATCTACTAGGTCCCTTCCGACCCTAAATCTATGAAACTATGAAACTATAGGTGTCCATGAAATTTAGGTGCCTCCATCTGAACATGGAATTTCAAAATATGCTAGCAACAACTATTATCATTCTTGATCTACTGATTTGTAAGTGTTCAGACCCTTTTTGAATCTTACTAAGTTCTGAGTCTCATCAGTTTCCTATAGGAAATAAATAGTATCCTTTGAGGATAAAAGGGCTATTTTAAAAGAGACTTAGTAAGAACTATTTAATGCTACTAAACATTAATTGGTTAAGAGCAAGGTTAACAGAGGGTGATTATTCCCCTATTTTTTTTTATTTTAGAAACATGAAGGTATTTTCAAAAAGTAACTTGAAAAAAAAATTGCAATATTGTCAATACTATCATAAAATGGCTTGATTTGAGTTTTGGCCAAAGGTAGTTCTTACTTTTTTTTAGGACTGTCAAACAATTAAAAAAATTAATCACAGTCAATCATGAGATTAAGAACTAGGTGCACTTAATTGCAATATTCATTATGCAGGTAAACAATTATAGAATCCTATTTTTTACAGCATAGAATGCAAACTGTATAGTACCTACAGACCCCTGGCCCTGCTAGTGCCCCTCACTCCCAACCCACAGTCCCCAATTCATAACCCCTATTCCTGTTTCTGCCCCTCACTCCTGACTTACAGCCCCCTGGTACTGCCAGTGCCCCACAGTCCTGACCCACAGTCCCTTGCTCCCCGAAACTACTTTGGTGCCCCTCAGTCCCAACCCATAGTCTCCCAATCCCTGCTGCTGCCCCTCACCCCCAAATTTGGCCCACGCAGAGCTCCCAGAGCTGAGCTGGCATGGGGACATTGGTGCCGCAGCTGGTAAGGGGGACTTTGGCTAAGGGAGGGAAGGAAGGAAGGGAGAGCAGGCCAGGGCATGGCACTTATCCCAGGCAGCTGCAGTAGTGGAACACAGGTGGTGGGGAAACCTGGTGGGGGCAGGTGGTGGCGTCAGCCTGAAGCTGTTGCTGGGTGCAGGGGAAAAGTGGCACCTCCCCCTTATTGTTGCTGGACCCTTCCTGCTGCAGCCACCCAGAGCCCATGCCAAGGCCCTATGTCTCCTCTGCACCACCAGTACTACCCTGCTGGGTGGCCCAGAGGCAGCAGTGATGGACATGCACTGCAGGACAGCCCAGGGGCAGGCTCCAAAACCACATGTGATTAACACGTTGAAAAAATGAATGTGCAAATTGGTATTTGCATTAATCATGTACACTAACACAGATTAATTGGCAGCCCTTCTTTTTTTTTTTTCTAAATTAATACCCAGGATTGGTCCACTAAGGTCCCTCTTTCCTACTTACGGCAGAATAACATCTTTGCAGTTGATTTATGAAGCACACAATCTTTCCATTTATTCAAAGTGATTTTTTAAACCTTCTTTTTTTATCTTTTTCAAATTTAGAGATTTATCTATATTAAAAAACTTTGTATTAATATAGCCTTTGGATTAATCTAGAGCTGCAGAAGGCTATGTCATACTTAAAGGTTTGTTTATAACCCCAAACAATACAATTGGTTCAACAAAATATATCACTTAGAAAAACCCTTGCCTGTTCTCAACCTTTGATATTCTTTTTACATTTTTTTGAAAAAGAATAGAAAAAAAAATCAATGAGATAGATTTGTATTTCTGAGATAAAATCTGTGCAAATCATCATTCATCTTCCTAGGCAAACACTGTGGGTAAGTGCAACAATAAAGTAAGAGGGTGTCAAAGTCAGTCTCAGAACAACATAAGGACTGAATTACCATACTTTTAACTTGAAAGAGTTTGTGTATTACCATTGGCTAAGACTAGCTTTGGTTTTAGTAGGTTTACTATAGGAAGCTTAAAATATTTTATACCATCAGTTCCATTTGAGAGGAACCGCTAACTTGATAATAATAGATACTGGGGATAAAAGTGAAGTAGCATCTGACTGTGTGTGTATATATGTGCATATTAATGCACTGCAGGTTGGAGAAGCCCTGGCTGGCAGGAGATCCCAGGGGTAAGCCTGCCAGGCCAGAGCTGCTTTATGCAGCTTAACATGCTGTGGACAGACTGGCTGGGGCACCAGGGTGCTTCACTGTTTGGCTAGCCAGCAAGCATCTCCTTCACTGAAGTACCCTCATGCTCTAGCCAGATGGGGCAGCATCTACATGTGAAACTGCTGGGAGTTTCTTACTCCTGCTGTGGAGTAAATTAGTATACTCCAGCCTAATAGGGATGCACATATAGACAAAAGAGGTTTAATGCACAGCTAATTAGTAGGGGTGTGCAAAGTGGGCCCTATTTGATTCGGATTTGGCCTGAATTGGGGACAGTGATTCGATTAGTTGATTCAGATCACTGTCCCTGATACAATTCGACTGAATCCGAATCTGAAGATTTGATGCTGATTCAGACAATCAGTGATTCGGCCATAGATGCAGCATTAAATGTTTTTTTTACATACCTCAAGGTACCAGGTACGGCTCATGAACACTGTGCTGCTGGGGTGCATGGAGCATCCCACAGAAGGATGGAGGAACCCCCCCATGTGCTTGGCAGCAAACCCGGAGGTGGACCAGAAGTGCTTCTGGTCTACTTCTGGATCCACTCCTGAGTGTGCTGGGAAGCCCCCCGTGCTTCTGTGAGATGCTCCATGCGCCCCAGCATCGCAGCATTCATGAGGGAGCCGCCTGCTACCTACAGGTACGTAGAAAAAAGTTTTAAAGCTGTGTCTATGTCCAAATCGTCAAATCTTTCCGAATCTCTCCGAATCAATTTGGATGGTTCTGATTTGATTTGGAGAGATTAAACGTCCACTGATTCGATTCAGAGATTCAGCCACCAAATCAGGCTGAATCTCTGCCAGATTGAATCAGGGACTGAAGCTTCCCATAGCCCTACATATTAGTCTACTGTGCAGTAAACATCTCTTGTAGACTTGCCAACTATCTGCCAATTTGCTTCATTTGCTTCAATTTGCTGCATGTAAATTTTTGTTAAATTTACTTGCAGTCTTTTTGGCCCCCTCTACAAATTACAGCTGTTACTCAATTATCTGGTTAACTGTGCAGTTGAGACCAGCTACAGGCATAGTACCTATCACACCATAACAAGTTCCAACCAGCTACAAAATTAGACCTCAAAAATGTGTACTAATTTTATAGTTGGTGGCATTCCAGCTTTAAGTTGCACATGTTGGCATGCGACGTGCATCGCGGAGATCAACTGGCGGCTTCAGGAATGGTGTCTCGAGGCAGGCTTTGGCTTCTTCAACAATGACCTACACATCACGACAAGAGACATGTTCAGATGTGATGGGCTCCACCTTTACCCTAAAGGTAAGCATGTGTTTTCTTCTAGGTTGGCGGATCTCCTCCGGCGGGCTTTAAAC